AGTCCTTATTTCAATATTATTTTCATGTCTAAGAAAAAAAGTCCTTATTTCAATATTATTTTCATGTCTAAGAAAAAAAGTCTTTATTTTAATATTATTTTCGTGTCTAAAAAAAAATGTCCTTATTTCAACATTATTTTCATGTCTAAGAAACAAAAATGTCCTTTGTTCGTATTTCATACTGTGAAATACATTTCTGTAAATGTAATCTAATCAAAAACACCTTAGTTGTCAAAAAAAGGTGCGATTCAGCTATATTTTCTTCATCGGTATTTAGGTTTTGAAAACTTGGGAGGGTCGATGCGACTTAAAGAAATGAAACTATAATTGGTGATCAAACTGGTAGCTACAATTATAGCATTGATAAGAATTTTACACAAATATTCATTCATTAGTTAGCAAGGACGCATTTTTTTATCTTTGGACATGATGGTGGCTAAAATAAAATACGCGACCTAGCTAACTAATGAATGGATATCTGCTGTAAATTTCTTATCAATACTATAAGTACAGCTACCAGTTTGGCTACCAATTTTGATTTCCTTTGCTTTAAGCCTTTTTTAGTATATATATGTTTTCCAAATAAAATATTAAAAGATATCATTGTTTCCATTCGTATGAAGGTAGCCATTTGTTGCTTCTTTGTTATCAGAAATATGTACTTCTTCTAGGAAAATCAAAACTTGCTTCCGACTGACAGTAGTGTAACAAAATGTAAAGGCATCCGCCAAGCCACTGGTTCGCTCTCGGGTAACAAGAAGAGCCATGTTACGAAGAACATCCACAACTTCTTCGAAAAAAAAAATAATCTATCACGAAAGCGCCATATACACAATCTTATTGACAAGTTTCTAATGTGTAGATATTTAAAATATATTTCTCAAATGTTAGAATTTTAACTGATTAAACAATCTTATGTCTGTATCAGTTTTCATGAAACATGAATTTTATAGAGAAAAGAGAATTAAAATAAGTAATTACAGGCAGAAACAATAACTTTATTGTTTATTGTTTTGATTTTCTCTTGAATGAAAAGAAATAGATTTTAAAATTTTAAAATAAAATTTTGTACTGACCACGTGTATTTACCCTTTTATTGGTTATCTATTTTGTCATATTAGTATTTTGTGATTATTACTTTCACTAGAATTGCAGTTGTGTATAAAATTGTTTCATTAATTAAAGTCAGTTTCTTCTCATCCTTTGCTATTTTTAATGTTTCATAAAGAACTCTATTTCTGCTGTTGTAGTTATTTCGGATTATTTGATTAAATGCGCAAGTTCAGTCCATTTAACAATAACGAGTTAATAATTTTTTAATAGCGTTCTATGATAGTGTTACGACAGCGGTAGTCACGTGACGCTGGTAACGCGTCATGATATTCTAGAAGAATCGGGGAACATCACGAATAATCCAGTATGTGCTAGGCGCCCTCTATTCCTGTATATAAGTACTCCAGATAACGTGAGACAAATTAATCGGAATTGAATTGCAGACAAGCAGAGATAAAGACGGACAATTGAGTAAAGCGCGGTAGTGACCGTAAGTAAGTTTGTGAATCATTGTGAATTATAGCGTGTGTTTAAAGTAACTGTGGAAATTAAGTGCATTACAAAGTTGAATTCAGAAAGAATAAACTAGTTTTATTTAAGAAAGGACTTGTATCGCTAAAGTTTCATCCGAAGTAAATTATACGGGAAATTAACAAACGACCAGAGGCGTAACAATAGGCTTCGTTCAGTGGTAGACCTAACTTCATAAACAAAGTTTGAAAAAATCCTAAACTAATTGTATACCTAACTCATAAATATACTTACTCACAGAAGTTCCTCGCTAAACGATCATTAACTGACACGCTCATTGACTCACTGACTAATTTTCTAACTGAAACGCAGATGAACAGACTCGCTAACCTCTCACTTTATAACTCGCTAATTACACTGAACTGATTAATCAACTCAGTGAGTCTAGCACTTTTATATTATCTTGGTCTTGTAATACTACAGGAAGTTTCAAGATTCCACAGAGGCCTAAATTTACATAATTTCTATACTTACTATATCATGTACCTGGCCAGGAGGGATAGCGGTAAGTTTACAGACTTAAGCAGTGGACATAGCAAAAGGTGCCTTTACTGGAACAGACAAATTGAAATCAAGTTTTGAAAATATATGTCTATATTATAAAACAAACAAATACGTCATGTAAAATTGTAAAAACTCCCCTCAGTGAAAAAAAACAGTAAACTAATAAAAAATATAGGCCACAACAATATTTTAAAGAACTCTTGGATGGAAATCACGTTTTCACAACCGATTTCTCTAAATCGAGAATTATAGATTAGGTTGCAAACTGAGTCGAGCTTTTCAAATATAGTTAGTGTTCATTCAGAGCTTAAGACAAATTATAATTTTAACGCCGCTCATCAACCACGAATCTCTTTTTGTTTTTGTATCGTTAACGGGTTCTTTAAATTATCTGGTGAAAATAATTCAACGCCTAGTCCATTCGCAAAATCATATATTTTATCTTTTGCCGTTTTTACTAATTTAAAGACTTATACATTGCAAAAAATTGTTGTATGCTTAATTTAAAATGGCGTGCAAGCCTCTGTTACGTCTCCGTTTGTTAATTAACTCTCCGTACATTCGTTCCGACGAAACTATAACGACACAAGTCTTTACTTAATAAAACTGGTTTATTCTTTCCGAATATAACTTTACCGATACACTCAACTTCAACAATCGCGCTAAACAAACGCTGTAACAACGAACGTCTACAATACTTCTGACTGCAGTTCAATTACTCACTATCTACACACACACATTACCGCGTC